AGAGTCTTTGGTCTGTCACTTCAAGTTCTTTCTATTCTTTTATAACTCAGACTATACTGGACTCACTCAACTGTGAGGATCAGATGTCCTTGGAATAAAAACCCACACTGAAGCCTGTTTCCTGGCTCCTGCCTCTTCCTGACACATTCCCAGAAGGAATTTATGGATGTTGGAGGGGGGCAAAGGGTGAGGAATTTCTAGACCATTTTATGAAACGTCCATGTTAGCAACCCCATGCTTGACTTACCAGGCACAATAAAATTCTCTTCCCTGTAAGCCAAAAGAAAACTTGGTGTAAGCAGCCTTACACATTGCCAAAACGATGTGGAAACAAATTCATCTGCATTTTTCAGACAGATGGGATCATTTTTTTCCTTCCAACTCCAGGTTACTCCACGTACAGATATTCCACATATGTCCTGAAGTCATCGGGATAAATACCTTCTGTGAGCTACTAAACATGAAGTCAGAGTAACTAATTCCAAAATGTGTTTCTAACCACATCAGGCTATCCAGATAAGGATAAACTGTATCTAAAAGTGAAATCCTTTATTGTTTATTCTCCAGCTGTGACCAGGGAAATTTTTCAAAGATTGTTGATTCCTTTATCTCACAGTGCTCTCTGGCCTGTGGTGAGGTGCTTAAAAATATCCCATAGTTTATCAGGCTGCTTCTTAAAGGTTAGCTCTGAATAGCTCATCTAGGAAAATCTCCCAGTGTGCTGGAATGTGCCTTCTCATCATAATCCTTTTACCCACGCCACGTATGTACACACACAGACACACACGGAGACACACACATACACCTGCACACACGCACACACACTAGTCTTTGTTCTGTCCTGTGGGGACATGACAAAAAGCCCACACCTGCTTCCTGGGACTTATAATGGTAACTTTGTCCTACTTAACATTGGCTTTTTCAGCTACAGGGTAAAGAAGTAGAAGTCTTCGACCTTCCATCTCCGTGTTCCCCAGACCCTCTAGTACTGTTCATTTCCCATAAAGAATCTACTTGTACATTTTAGAGACTTCATAGGTTATGTAGTTCATCCTGAAATAATAAAATCCCTACTATCTGAACTTGACGCTAAATCTCTCAGACACAATCTCAAGTAATTTTCCCCAAGGTCTGTCCTCAAAGGAAACATAAACCATCCAGTTGTCTGCACAAGAATATTTTGCATTCTTAAAGGTTATTAATTGCTCCCTAGTTTTACCTTCTCTAGAACACATATTTCTAGTTTTAATAAATTGATCTTCATAAAGTTTACCTTTTCACCCATTAGTGATTTCTGAAGTTTCTCTGATCTAAGTCCAAGTTGCCACTGAATTTAGGACTAGATTCAACCAGATCAAGTCCCAACTTAAGTAAAGAAACTATTGACATGAACTCTTGTTGCTAGGCTGCATTCCCAAGAGTGCAACAAAAAAACAACTACTGTTCATCAAGTGCCTACTATGGGCCCGACAACATGCTCTATGTTCTATGTTCAGATCTCTAATCCTTAATTTCCTCTGGAGTGTGTGTGTGTGTGTGTGTGTGTGTGTGTGTGTGCGCGTGCCAGAGGTCAGCCTCAGGTATCTTTCTGCGGTTTCCTCAGGAACCATTCACCTTGATTTTTGAGATCAGGTCTCTCAAAAATCTCACTTGGCCTGTAACGTGGAGATTGTGTGAGGCTGCCTAACCCCAAACAACTTTCTGTCTCTGCTTCCCCAGCACTGGGATTAACAAGCATGTGCTAACATGTCTAGCTGTTTTTGCATGGGTTTTTGGAATCAAACTCAAGTCCTCCTGCTCTCATGATAAACACTTTACCAACTGAGCCAGCTCTGGAATGGTTTTGATCCCCTACTATTTAAATGATATCATGGATTAAAGGATAAGTATGTTGCTGAAGCTATAGAGCCAGTGAGTAGCCTAGATACACCAAAGTCTACAACACTGAAGACTGATCTTTCTCAAAGTATAGAAGCTTCCCCAATCCTAAGAGCATCTTGAACCAGTAGGAAGGATAACACTCAAAGATAACATATCTCACAATGTAACACTGTGTTGATCTCTTAGATACACAATGAAAAATCCTCCCTCTACCCACTCTGGCTATTACTACCCTCAAGTTTTGCCTTGAAGTTTCAACCAATTTCTCTGGAGGGTTTTTAGACATTAATTCTAAGTCATCATAGCACACACAGTGTCAGTTAAAACTCCAAGCTTGGCCCATAGTTCTTTCCAAGAGATAAAAAGAGCCAAGAAGTGATGGGAAGAGGTAGGAAAGAAGCACTTTGTGAATGCAGAAAGCAGTAAGTCAGACATTCCAAGAGAGCCTGCAATCAATACATATGATAGTGATATTTGAGAGAAGACTATGCCAAGCTTGCCTATTCATGACAATCTTCATTCAGAGCCTTTAATGGCTTTGTAGATCTGCAACTAATCATTTAGACAATGCATTCTAGTAAGAAAACATTGTCAGAGGTTTTTTGTTTGTTTGTTTGTTTTCCTAACCATGGAGTAGATGCCCTAGGTAGCTATTACTTGGATAGTTGGTAAAATATCAGTATAGATATGATTAGGTTGAAGTGGGTGTGGGTCGGATGTAAGTTTATAGCTGGTCCTTTCTAGGTCTCCAAACCCCCACTCGGTATCACAGAAGTGGTTCAGTCTAGTTTTTCCTGTCACGATCCACCTCTATGTTTTCAAAAGACATTCCGTCATCCTGAAAGAGGCGTTTCCTTGGGATCCATTTGGTGTATTCTGTCATTGGGGTCATGTTTTTTCATTTAAAAAGTTTACTTTAATTTATTTATCATGTACAACACAATGCTTTTGAACCATGCATACATTTCAGAATGACTAAATCCAATGAATTAACATGTGCATTAGCTCATATTGTTATCATTTTGTGGTGAGAATACTCGATATCCTGTCTCAGCATGTTTCCAAGAATGTAATGGCCAGGAGGACTGGCATATGCCTGTAATCTTACAACTCAGGAGCCCAAGGCTGGAGAATCTTGAATTTGGAACCAGCTTGGGCTGTACAATGAGACATTTCAAAAAGCGGTAATGAGTATTACTAGTTTTATTAATAACATGGTACAGTGGATTTCTTGAATTTATTCCTCCCGTATTATTGGAATTCTGTAACCTTTGACAGACATCTCTCCAACTTTTTACCCTCAAACACTACACCCCTAGTACATCATGATCACACTCTAATTCCACAATATCCACCCTTTAACTTCCACGTGAGTGGGATCTTGTGGTATTCTTAGTGGGCTCTCACAGTATTGGTTTTCTATCTTATTGTTCTAACACAATATCCTTCAAGTTTGCCCATGTTGTTGCATATAACAGGGCTTCCTTTTTTTCTATGGCTAAATAGCATCTTACTGGGAAGAAAATCAGAAAAGTTCCTATAGGCTAAGTGATTGAAATACCACAGCCGTTTGACAGAAATATAAAAACGACAAAGAGAGAAATGCCCACTTGGTAAAATCAAATAGCTCTTTTGTTTTCTAGAACTATCTTCAGGTGTATTTCCTAATGAAAGAGGACATAGATGTCTGCATACCAGGTATAGATTGCTCACATGGGTATCTAAGTCATTATTTTATTATCATGAAGTCCATCCAAAAGTTAGTCAGGCACCCATATTTTCACTCAGTAGTTTCTCAATCACCTTTTGATAGCCCCTGTTCCTCTCCTACCTGACCTGTATACATAGGAATAGCTACAAACAGATAAATAAAGCAATTCAGCAGGGTCAGAGCTGCTACAGCGTAGCATCTCCCTCTATACTCTGTCTCATCTAATCCTTCCCTCTAGTTAAGTCTCATTTAAATACCTTAATTTCATCCTTTCCAAAAACCCATACTTTGGACAATTCTTTTGTTTTTCAAGCTCATAAGCAGTTAAATTTTATACCTAGGAAAGCTTGTTCTTTGCATTGTTTTTCTTTATTCCCTAAGTACTGAATGGATGATTCCATTTTCTTAATTCTATAGCTAAGCTGTCTAAGGGCAGACACTTGGTCTTGTATTTATTTCTACCACCTACAGAATTTTGTTTGCTGTGGAAAATTCGGTAAGATTTATGTCATTGCTGGTTGATCCGAGAAGACAGCAGAGGCTCACAGATATCCTAGCTGAGCCATCTGTTGTCACGAATCTCAGTTTGGACAACTGGTTCAGACGCAGTCTATTGAGTTCTTCTCAAGCTTCACCTACTGAATGTTCTGGATATATAAATCAAGGAAAGAGGGATAAAGACTGAACACTAGGCCAACAGCCATGTGACTACAAAAAGCATAGTAGAAATCACAACCTAGATTGTCTTTTTAAGTTCTTTCTCTTTCCCTCCATCCTTAAGATGGAAAGAACCAGCAGTGTTTATCTCCATCTATAGGATCATTAATTACACTTAGGAGTCACCAAGTGTCTACTGGGACTGAAACAGTTCCCTCAGGGAGCATGGCTAGTAAATACTGAGAGACAATGAATACACAAATTTTTCCTCTGTGATATTTCCATTACGTCAATCTTTTAACTCTGCCATTGGCCACGATCTCTGTAGAAAATGAAGTTGGGGGAAATTTAACTTGCCCAAGGCACCCAGACCTGAAGCTGAGACACATTCTTTGGATAATTTTTTTGGTTTTCAAAGCTAATACACAGTTAAAATTCTATACCTAGAATTTTTTTTTCTTAACATGGACAAACGCATGTCGACCCTATCCTGATGTTTGCCATGTTTTTCTCTTCCCTCCTGTGTCCCCTACATTTCCAGAAACTGAAAAGCGAGTGAAACTATTTCTTCAAAATCACAAAATTCTTTTACATACCATTGTCTATCCTCCCTACAGAATAAAAATGAAATATCAAGAGGGTTTCAGACACAGGCTTCGTGAAATCTAAACTCACTTGAAATCGTCCCTATTCCTCAGATCCCATCAGTGGCAGATACTAATAAACTATTATTTCCTTTGTTTATTTATAGAGCTTCTTTCAAAAAATCTGGGCGTGACTGTCTGATTTGTACTGGACTCAGCATATCTAAATCCCAAATTCCATTGGGAGTTAAGATAACCTACAACCTCAGAGACCTAGCCAATCCCACCTCCGCCATGGGGGTCATGACTCGGCTGTTGCCGGGCATCTTCCTGGCTCTGCTTGCCCTTCCTTCCGAAGGCGGTGTCCTCAAGAAAGTCATCAGACAAAAGCGGCAGAGTGGAGTGAACATGACCCTGCCAGAGGAGAATCAGCCAGTGGTGTTCAACCACATCTACAACATCAAGTTACCCATGGGGTCCCAGTGCTCAGTAGATCTGGAGTCATCTGGAGGGGAGAAAGACCTGACCCCCACGCCAGAGTCCAGTGGAAGCTTCCAGGAACACACAGTGGATGGGGAAAACCAAATTGTGTTCACACACCGCATCAACATCCCCCGCCGTGCCTGTGGCTGTGCTGCAGCTCCAGATGTGAAGGAGCTCTTGAGCAGGCTGGAGGACCTAGAGATGCTGGTGTCATCCCTGAGGGAGCAGTGCACCATGGGAACGGGCTGTTGTCTCCAACCTGCAGAAGGTAGGAACCAAGGAAGGTTGCCCTGCTTTTGTGAAGATGGAAGAAATAGTCAGCAGAGTCTCTGAGTGGTTTCTAGAGTGAGTTTCCTGGGAAACTAGACTGGCAAGGTATCCATTTAAAAAAAAAAATTAAGGGCAGATAAATGTGGAGAACATATCCATTTTCTCTTCACTTGAAGGAGTCATGGCCAAAAAAATATTCTCAGAGTAATTTTCAGGCCTTTGGGAAATCGGCTTCTTAAAGCCATAGTTTACTTAGTAAACGTGTTTAGGGCTGACCATTTGAGAATGAACGACCTCTGATGGGGCTTGTCCCTGGAGAAAACTGATTCTTCTTTTCTCAGTAGCCATTGATTGCCTGTAGGTCTTCACCGAAAAGTGGGACCTTGTGAAATTTCCCACAGCCACATTAGCTTTAATCGTATCATTTTTAAAGGTTTATTTAGCTTATTTTTTGTTTATTTGTGTGTGTCTGTGTCTGTGTGTAAGTGTATTATGCATATGTGTGTGTGTGTAGAGGTATAAATGCTCACATTTTCACAGCCAAGCTGGAAATCAGCAAGCACCAGTGATCCTTCTGTCCCTATGCCCTTGGAAGCTGGGGATACAGGCATGTGGAGGATACTCAGCTTGCTATATCAGTACTGGGATCTGAACTCTGCTCCTCATGGTTGCACAGCAAGGACTTAACCACTAAGCCATCTCTCCATCCTAGCTTTAAGTACATCTTAGTAAAACATGTTTGACTTTGAAATCTTTCTTTCCTCAGAACTTCTGAGCATACCACAAAAATCCTCCTCCCAAGGGTACCCTCTGAAGGAGATTCTTGTAGCCCTATTACCTGATTGTACAAATAGGGAAATTAAGACCCAGAAGAAGATGGGGTTCTCAGGGTCCTGTGATGAAGGGCTAAGTTAGATCTTAACACAATGTTCCATATCTCTGTATTCTTAGAAATGCACAGTGCCACCTGGGTGGTACTAAATCTGGGAATTAAGAAGAAAAATGTTCCAATGTGATAGACCACAACTGATAATAGTGGCCACAGTCAAGACGAGCCAGCTGTATGCACCAGACACCAGAATTATCATCTTGAGTGATCCTTCCAGCAACCCTTTAAGATATAGCTTAACATATCTGCAGATCTGAGAACTGAGATTTAAAAAATTAACCCAATGTCACAAGATGACTCTAGGCACAGAGGGAGGGATGCAGGCTTTGAATGTGCCTGCTTGTCTCCACTTTCCATGTTCTCATAGCTACCCTGGACTCATGTCCAGCCCATTTTAAGGAATCCGATGCTTTGGAGTTACTTGTTTATCCTCTATTCCCTGAGGTCCTTGGAACTACAGAAGTTTTGACTTCAAATTAGAAACAAAGGTCTCTCTGTTCTACCACCCAGAAAATACTACCAGAAAGGACTTTGATAATGATTTCAAGAGTAAACCTGACCACCATATGCTGAGAATGCTGTGGAACTCTGGGAACTCTGTGCTAAGGCATCTTTTATTCATTTTATTGTTTTTGTTTGTTTAAGACAAGGTCTCCCTCTGTAGTGCCACCTGGCCTGGAACTCATTATATAGACCAGGCTGGCCTCAGTCTCACGGAGATCTGCCTGCCTCTGCCTCCCAAGTGCTGGACAACATTTTTAAAGTTTCCTTTATGTATAAGTTAAGTTCACTTTCAGTCTGTCGACTCTCTAGAAAAAAAATGGGTGAGGTGATGCAGTAAGATTAATATTAGAATAGGTTGAAATCATTATTTAAAGGTATGCTGTCCAATAAAAACAACATGACTGCACATGTAATCTTCAATTTATCAGTAGTCATGTTAAAGAAATAAAAAGAAACAGATAGGAATCATTTCTACCTCTATTTTATTTAAGCGAATATAACCCAAGCATCCGTTTTCAGCATAGAATCAACATAATCATTACTGCATTACTGGGTATTTTGCACTTTATTATTTTGTGTTAAGTCTTTGGAACCTACTGTGTGTATTAGCTCAGATGAAAAACAGCTTTCAGTCCCTGACAACCACATGTGGCCAGGGGCCACCACAAAGCAATGACCCCTGCAGGTGAAGCCAAGCTGGTATTCAAGAGTCCTGTCAGCTCTGCATTCTACAGCTTCCCTTACCACTAAAGCTTACTGAACAGTGAGTGGGGGAACAGACAGAAACACATGAGTTTTCTGAGGACACAGCCAAATTAAAAGATGCCCTAACAAACTTAAAAAGGCACACCTTGGCTCCCTCATTTCAGTCATATACAATGTAAAAGCTTGTATTGTGGAACACACATACAGACTTTAGCCAAGTCCCCCACCAAAATAAAAATGAGCAACCAAAAAATAAATAAATAAAAAATAAATAAAAAAGTCACTGCATCCATGAGTAAGCCCTTAATGTCCTCATTTAATATCCAGGAAGGTGGGTAACTTAAGTGATCGCACTTAATGTAAAGGCCATTGGTTTCCAGAGAGAATCTAAATCCTTTCCCAATAGGGCATAGCTATTAAGCCAAAAGTCAGAATTAAGTTCAATTCGATAATTATTTCTTGAGCATCTCATAGTTGCCTTCTTACTAGACCCCAGAGAAGAAGCACCACAGCCTGGTAAAATGCACTCTATAAGGCATAGAGTGACCCATAGTCACTACAGTTGTGGGACCCCTTGAAAATGGGGAGCAAACTATGGATCCTCTCCCTAGCGATAGAAATGCACACACACACACACACACACACACACACACACACACACACACACACACACACACACACACACACACGTTAATGTCTTTATATACACATCTATAATTTCCAGTAGTTTTATAATCTCCATGAAGTATAACTGAATGTGAATCCCATCTGACTCCATATATTAAGCAGCTATTCTCCAAGCATACCACTGAAACCATCCCCAGCTGAATTTGGATCTAGGTTTGCAGGTAGATACCGAGAAGCTGATCTGATGGAACTCAGCTAAGTCCCTGTTATCTTTACTACAGGCCGTCTGGACACCAGGCCTTTCTGCAGTGGCCGGGGCAACTTCAGCACAGAAGGATGTGGCTGTGTTTGTGAGCCAGGCTGGAAAGGCCCCAACTGCTCTGAGCCAGAATGTCCCGGCAACTGTAATCTCCGGGGCCAGTGCCTTGATGGGCAATGTGTCTGTGAAGAGGGTTTCACTGGAGAGGACTGCAGCCAGCTGGCATGTCCCAATGACTGTAATGACCAGGGCAGGTGTGTGAACGGGGTCTGCGTGTGCTTCGAAGGTTATGCAGGGGTTGACTGTGGCCTGGAGGTCTGCCCAGTACCCTGCAGCGAGGAGCACGGGATGTGCGTGGACGGCAGGTGCGTGTGCAAGGACGGCTTCGCAGGCGATGACTGTAACGAGCCCTTGTGCCTCAATAACTGCTACAACCGGGGACGGTGCGTGGAGAACGAGTGTGTGTGCGACGAGGGCTTCACAGGTGAGGACTGCAGCGAGCTCATCTGCCCCAACGACTGCTTTGACCGCGGCCGCTGTGTCAATGGCACCTGTTACTGTGAAGAGGGATTCACTGGTGAGGACTGTGGCCAACTCTCCTGCCCCAACGCCTGCCAGGGTCAAGGCCGGTGTGAGGAGGGCCAGTGTGTGTGCGATGAGGGTTTTGCCGGTTCGGACTGCAGTGAGAAACGGTGTCCTGCTGATTGTCACCACCGTGGTCGCTGCCTCAATGGGCAGTGTGAGTGCGATGATGGGTTCACTGGCGCTGACTGCGGGGACCTCCAGTGTCCCAACGGCTGCAGCGGGCATGGCCGCTGTGTCAATGGGCAGTGTGTGTGTGATGATGGGTTCACTGGAGAGGACTGCAGCCAGAGGCGGTGCCCCAATGACTGTCACAACCGGGGCCACTGCGTGCAGGGCAAGTGTGTGTGTGAGCACGGTTTCAAGGGCTTTGACTGCAGTGAGATGAGCTGTCCCAATGACTGCCACCAGCACGGCCGCTGTGTGAATGGCATGTGCGTCTGTGATGATGACTACACTGGAGAAGACTGCAGGGACCGTCGCTGCCCCCGGGACTGCAGCCACCGGGGCCGCTGTGTGGACGGACAGTGCATATGTGAGGATGGCTTTACAGGTCCTGACTGTGCTGAGCTCTCCTGCCCTAAAGACTGCCACAGCCAGGGCCGCTGCGTGAACGGCCAGTGCATCTGCCACGAGGGCTTCACTGGCAAAGACTGCAAAGAACGAAGGTGCCCCAGTGACTGCCATGGCCAGGGCCGCTGTGAGGACGGCCGGTGCATCTGTCATGAGGGCTTCACAGGCCATGACTGTGGGCAGCGCTCCTGCCCCAACGACTGCAGCCACCGGGGACAGTGTGTCTCTGGCCGCTGCATCTGCAGTGAAGGCTACACAGGGGAGGACTGCTCCCATGGTGAGTACCAGCATGCAAGCTGGCATGCTAGCGGTCCTGATGGAGTGCATACCTGAAACCTATCAGAGAATGTTTGGATTTATCAACACTTTGACTCTTTTTATCTACCACTTAGTGTGTTTCTATGAAATATGCAGGCTTGCTCTGACTCTTTGAGGGGGCTGTGGTCAGTCTCTTGCTACAGGGCTACCTAGTTAAGGGCCCAAAAGCTCAGAGATGAGATATAGTTGTCCAGAGGACACAGAGCTAGTATTTGAATATGCCTTGCTTATCTACCAATAACATCCAATGCCCAAGATAGATGAAGTAATGATATTACTTTTGCTAAGTATAAACTCCTTTTTCTACTCTCCACTGGCCTTTGAACAACAGCACATGAACTTCCACTTGAATAGAAGTGATAATTCCGCTAAAATGAATAGACAATGTGATTAAACAAAGCAAACTTTTGTTAACACAGTCAGCTAAAGAAGAGCTTCAGGTTGGTTACCCAGGAGGTTGAACTGTCTTTTATGTTGTCTTTTGGTACTAGCTTTAGCCAAGGACTGTGAACTCCCCCAAAGAGCACTGTTCTCAACAGTTAACACAGCAGCGAGATAGTTTGTGTCCAGAAAACATTGGTTAAATGAAAACACAGCAAAAAATAGTAATGCTCATGTTCAATTAGAGTCTTTGTATTTCTCTCATTTTCATATCATAGAGAACATCTTGCATGGGCAGCTAGGAGCAAATAAATAGCACTACTGCTTAACACGGCTGAATCCTATAAGCTCAGCAAGCATCTGTGAGTGACAAACTAATGGAGGCAACCCCAGGAAAATCCCTGGGCCTCACTCACATTTAGAAACAGGAGAGTTTGACTAGATGAACCCAAAATACCTCTCTAAGATTCAGGATGACTATCTCACAGGCAGTCAGGCTGAGACTTCACTTTCCTTTACTCATGGCATGAGTCTAAGCTAGGACCTCGGAGATGGGAAAGTGGGAGGGACCAAGTTACACAAAGTGTTGAACTTTGTGTTGATCTGGAACTTCAGCATGAAGGCAGTGGACTAATGGATTTCAAAACTAGTCCTGGTGTACAGGACTGTAATCCCAGCCTCCTGGGAGGTGGAAGCAAGAAGATTCTAAGTTCAAGGCCTGTCTGATCCACAAAGAGTTCAAGCTCAGGCTAGGCAAATTAGTGAGCTACTTACTCAAAACAAAAAGTAAAAAGCAAGGGGGGAAGGGGCTTGGAGTATTGCTAAAGTGGTAGGACTCATACCTAACATGCACAAGACACAAAGATGAATTAATCAAAAGTCGGGGCTGAGTTCTACAGGATAGGGGCAATGGGAGCTGAAATTCAGACTTCTGTTGCAAACAGAAGAGACTTGTCAAGAAAGGCAATCCTAGAAGGGGCACTGTAGGATGCACTCTTGACCCCAGATATCCTATTATGTTCCTCCCAGTGTCCCCTCCCAAAGATCTCATTGTGACAGAAGTGACGGAAGAGACTGTAAACTTGGCATGGGATAATGAGATGCGGGTCACAGAGTACCTCATTGTGTATACACCTACCCATGCTGATGGCCTGGAGATGCAGTTCCGTGTGCCTGGGGACCAGACATCCACCACCATCCAGGAGCTGGAGCCAGGAGTGGAGTACTTCATCCGAGTGTTCGCAATCCTGGAGAACAAGAGGAGCATCCCTGTCAGTGCCAGAGTCGCCACCTGTGAGTGAGCAGGGCTCTCTGAGTGGACTCACCTGACCTTGGCCCACCTGCATAGAACTATGCACTAGACTGTTTTATATAACTCTGTATGCTAACTCATTTAACCCAACGAAATGCAAGCAATCATTAACCAAATACAGATGAGAAACCTGAGGCTGGATAGTTCAGCATCTCATCCCAATCCTACAGCTAACCAAGATGGAGGTGGGATTTGAACTTGGTCGGTCCTGAAGAGTAGGTCTTAGCAGTCTATGGAATTCACTGTCTGTTTATTTCTTTTAAAGTGGAAATATTATAGTTCACCTTGTTCTTTTAAGAGCCTAACATCAGTATAATTACCTACATGCCTGAAAAGAGAGCCATGGCTAGAAACTGGCCCTTACTTGCTTAGTAATAACAACATTGGTCACCACTGACTGATCTATGCCAAGAGCCAGGCCAGCAGGCTCCATGGAATACGTCACTCAGTCCTCTGTGCATTCCCAAAGGCAGACATAATCACCTTCTTCTCCCAAGAAAATTAATGATCTCAGGGCTTCTTGTACACCTTGCTTAAGTTAGCAATGGTGGCATCAGATGCTGGCCTAAGTCTGTCTGATCCCAAAGCCTTTATATGCTTTGTTAGTTGGACCCTATGATGTTGCAAATAGGTAATCTTATGATTGATCCTGATAGTAATTTTCATACTTCCTTACCATAGATAGCATGCCTTAAGAACCTTTAAGCAGACCCCAGCTCTGCTTATCAGCCCCAAAGTAACAACTGACCATCATGGGTTTAGTGGAACTGTAGCTGAGTGGCCTCCACTGTGGATCTGCCCCTCCTTACATCCTGCTTGTGCTGTTCTTTACAGACTTGCCTGCACCTGAGGGCCTGAAATTTAAGTCCATCAAAGAGACATCTGTGGAAGTAGAGTGGGATCCTCTAGACATTGCTTTCGAAACATGGGAGATCATCTTCCGGAATATGGTGAGGGGCGGCAGGGAATGGGAGTATCAGACCTGAAGGATATGAAAGCTGGTCCAAAGTTTTTGCAAACTTTATATCACTGCATTTCCTTAGCTTTGGATGGAAGACAGGGCACTATCACTTTATCTTTTCACGTCTATTTTAAGTGTAGCTGGTTTTCACCTGACGCTAATAAGTCAAAAAGTTTAGCACTTAGGCCTGAAAGCCTAGACAAACAGAAGTTGAGTCATTTGTAGGTTCCAGCTTACAAATCTCTGGAAGAAAAGAAAAGAAACTAGCCCCTCCTACACAATGCCTCCAAACATGTTCACACTGTTCCAGAATTCACCATGTAGCCTGGGTTGACCTTGAATTCATGACAACCCTCAGATTTGACCAGCTCTTCTTCCCACGCCTCAAACAGCAGGTGAAGCAGGGAACATTGCTTCTGGGTGTAACCCAAACCCTACTCCCAGCTAGCTATGGGACCATGGGGCAATCAGTCAACTTTTCTGATGCTGGCTGCTGGTTTATTGAAAGAGGTTTGAGTTGTGGCTTCAGAATTCCCCTGGTTCTCACATTCTGCCATTTGGACCCTCACATCACCCGGTAAGTGCCGGGGTCTAAAAAAGAAGAAATGAGCTTGAGGACTGTCTTTATCATTTCTGTCAGCATCTAACACACCAATCTGATGCCACGCATAGGACGTACCTAATGAATGAATGAAGTAAAAGAAACAAGTGAATGCAGAATGAATGAAGCACAGGCGAAGGGGCTGGCACCACATCGGAGTCTTACCATCGTGCTTCTGTCTTGCAGAATAAAGAAGATGAGGGAGAGATCACCAAAAGCTTGAGGCGACCAGAGACCTCTTACAAGCAGACTGGCCTCGCTCCTGGGCAAGAATATGAGATATCTCTGCACATTGTTAAAAACAATACCCGGGGCCCTGGCCTGAAGAAAGTGACCACAACTCGTGAGTATCCCCTGACCCAGATAGAGCTTACTGTCTCGTTACATCTTTTGCTTCTAAAGGTCCCTCTTTCATAGTGTCTGCATTGATGAGCTTCTGCTAACCAATAGAGTCCATATGTAGTTGCTTAAATGTCATGAGTTCAAGACCAACCTGGGCTACATAGTAAATTCCAGGATAGTTTGAGCTATAGAGTGAGATATTGTCTGAAAAATAAAAATAAAGGATAAACAAGACAATGACTTACTCTTTTGTGCAGCCTCATCAGCAGGTTAACCTGGGCCTGTTGGCCTGGCTGTGGAGTAGGCTCAAAACTGACAGGGCCATCACTATTGTCAGAGCACATTCTAAGGCCGGTCCAAATCTAAGATATAGGTATAGCTGTGAAGTTCTTCAGAGTCACATTCTCAATGACCATAGATCCAAGAAGATAAATAATTGAGACCATCACAGGCCATCTTCCATATAATCTCATTTAATAGAATCACCAAGATAGAGGGTGCATATTCACATTAATGGGTACAAAGAGTAGTGACTAAACTTTAGGAAAGCCGAGTCACTTTGATATCATGTATTTCATATATCGTGGTCATGACTTTAAACAGAGCTACTTATAGAACCTTTACTCCATACCAGTGGCATTGGCTGTGCTCTGGTTTGGGAAGAATGTTGATTTCATGTCCTTAGTAGAAATCTAAATAAAATTCCATTTGAGGGACTAAGCATGAGGACCTGAGTTCAACCCGCAGAACTCTTATACAAGAAGCCAGACTCATCTGGAGAGATGACTCAGCAGTTAAGACCACTTGCTGCTCTTGCAGAGAAGTTCAGTTCCAGAACCCTCATGACAGCTCATAACATCTGTAACTCCAGTTCCAGGGGCTCCAACGCCCTCTTTTAACTTCCATGAGCACCAAGCATGTATGTGGTACACTTACATACACGCAGGCAAAACACTGACACTCATAAAAAAAAGAATAAATCTTAAAAAGAAAAAAGCCATGCATGGTGGTACACACTTGTAATCCCAAAGCTTAGAAAGTAGAGACCAGAGAATCCCAGGACTTACTAGCCTAGCCTAATCAGCCAACTCAGGCCAGCACGAGATACCGTCTCAAAAATCAAGGTGGAGGGGTTCTAAGGAATGATGCACAAGATTGACCTCTGGCCTACACATACACACACACACACACACACACACACACACACACAAACACATACACACATACCACATATTAACATAGACACACAGACACACACACACACACACACACACGCAGACACGCACACTTATACATACACACAAAAGCACCCATTCACATATACACAGGTTACACTTGATACTAATGTCAATAGAAATTCCTAGAGTGTAACAGGACTTAACGCAACTAGAGCATTTGATGGGAAATGAAAACTGAATCTGGAGCTACTCTACCAAGAAACAAAGTTTTAAAAAGAAAGAAGGGAGAAAATAATTTTGCATTGCCATTTAGCAAGAAAATATCTTTATTTTTTCCAAGATAGCGATAGCAGATGTGCCAGTCCTTTAGGGAACTGACTTTTCTTGGCAGGAGGTTGTTGGAAAAGTTAAATCTGTTGACTAATGACAAGAAAGAACACCTTGCACTCAGGCACTTGCACATTTTGCATAGCTCAGGGCCAGTTCAGAGGACCATCTCCTTTGTAAGCAAGTGTTTTCCATCATCCTGACAACAGCACTCTGTGGTAGGTACAAGGCAGGTACTGACAGGAAGAAAAAATCATTAGATCACCAGCAAGGAGAAGAAAAGATCAAGCAAAACTTATTGGCTGCAGAGAAAGCACACTCAAAAGTACAAACAACCTTTCTTCTACCTGCCCTTTGCTCTTTAATCCAGATTTGAGAGTTGACCGCTTTATTTTCTGGTTATTGAAGAGCAAACACTCCAATACCTGAAATTTCATAACCTGTAAAGATCAAATCTGAAGGACACACGCTTACCTGCCCCTTTTGCTGATATACCTGAAGATTTTCCAGGATTAAAGAACCTTAACCTTTTGGTGCAAAACATGTTTGACTCCTTCTCTCTGGCACCGAACAGAAGTTGTGTTGCAATTATTTTTGACACATGAATGTTGACAACATTATGCTTTGTGATGGTGAAAGGGCGTAGGAGCCAATCAGTAATGAGATGAAATTCCTTCTTCACCATCCTCCATCACTTTGCAATTCATCCTCCTTTAAATCTCAGAGCCAACATTTGGAACCTGGGTTCATAGCATCTTACTCATGAGAGTGTCCTTAAGAACAAAGCATTGATAGTACTGCACTGGGCCTGGAACATGGTCAGCACAGAGCACCATTAGTCTTCACTATTCAAGAGATCCAGAGTTAGGACTATCGGTGTCATTGGCCAAACCCTAACCTCCTGAGGGATTTGGGTGGTCTGGTGGCTTGCGAACAGCTGTAGGAATGCTGAGTCTCACTGTCCATGTATAGCCTCATTTTCAAACATGTGTTTTATGGGTTCATCATCCAGTAACTGATGTATAAACACCTAGACTTCAAAAATGGACACTTCAGCATCCTCATAATCCTGCGAATATTAGTCCTCCTCCCATACCCTGCATAAAGCCTAGCTCCTTCTCTTCAGTAGTGCTGTGTTTGTTATATCAATGCTGAAAGCATAAACTATATTATTTTTTAAAAGAAGAACCACCCAGTGCAGGAAAGAGTGGAGTTGCTCAGGGTGCAGGGGAATGAAGGCTCAGTCGGTGGGCTCTGACTTACCAGGGTGGTAGGCAGTACTGAAGCAGGTAGATCAGGAAGTCAAGGGCAAGGTAGGGATGGGGACAGCCTGCAGAGGGCCTGGAAAACTATGCTAAAGGATTAAGCTAGTCTGGGTTAGGAAGCTAGTCCAGAGAGCTGAGATGGACGAGCAGGAGTGAGCCTGTGCCCAAGCCTAGAAGGGAAACATAGTGTGGGGAGAGCAAAATGAAGAAGAGGAAGGAGGAAGAAGGGGAGGAGGAGGAGGAGGAGGAAGGAGAAGATGAGGCACATACTAAATGCCTCAAATGTCCTAGGGATCACAAAAGCCAATGATCCGTTTTCTGAACGAATAAGTGAATAAATGAATGACCTAATCTAAGTTGATGCAAACTGTAAAGAAATCTTTGATAAGACAGTAAGAACAGCATTCTGTTTCAAAGCTTTTTCAGGGTAGTGTCTACAGGGAGGGAGGACGTGGGTACCTGATTACAGAGATAAAGGAGGCTCCTGGCTAGGCTATGACATATAAAGACGTTTAGAATGATGGACAGATTTTCTGAATGAATAAGTGAATAAATGAATGACCTAATCTAAGTTCATCCAAACTGTAAAGAAATCTTTGATAAGACAGTAAGAACAGCGTTCTGTTTCAAAGCTTTTTCAGGGCAGTGTCTACAGGGAGGGAGGACGTGGGTACCTGGTTACAGAGATAAAGGAGGCTCCTGGCTAGGCTATGACATATAAAGACGTTTAGAATGATGGACAGGAGAATGAAGGAGGGGGAATGATGTAGGGAGATGAAGCAAAGAACAGTCTGTAGAGACCAGGAAGCAAGGAAGCATGAAATCCAGGTAGATGAGCAGGCGAGTGCAACAGGACACAGGAATGGCCAGGATGAAGACCCAAAGTCAGGCAGTATTTGAAATAACAATTGACGCTTGTCCAAATTCTTTTTGTCAAAACAATTTTTGGACTGGCAAGATGGCTCAGCTAGGGCAGAAGAAAGTGGGTGGTCGGTGTGAAGAGAATGTTTACCATGACCTGCTGTGCCTCCTTGGTACTGGCCTTGACCTCTGAAACTGCTGTTCTCCCTGCTGACCACAGGCTTGGATGCCCCCAGCCAGATCGAAGTGAAAGACATCACAGATACCACTGCGCTGATCACCTGGTTCAAGCCCCTGGCTGAGATCGATGGCATTGAGCTTTCCTATGGCATCAAGGATGTGCCGGGGGACCGCACCACCATCGATCTCACACACGATGAGAATCAGTACTCCATTGGGAACCTGAGACCTGACACTGAGTACGAGGTGTCCCTGACCTCCCGCAGGGTGGACATGGCCAGCAACCCTGCCAAGGAGACCTTCACCACAGGTAAGGCCTGCCCTGTTGACAGGTGCAGAACAGAAAGGGCAGCAAGACTTCTGCCCCACTCCATCCCCAGGTACCTCTCAGGCTCATCTGACAGTGAGGAAAGTAGAGAGGCCATATCCACCCCTCTGCATTTATTTTAAACTACTTAGACATCGATGGCTTTTTCAAAGAAAAAGAATTCTAAATAACCTTCCAAATCATTCCCACACATATATGTACACATGCACATATATACACACATATATATGTGTATGTATATATGTATATACATACATACATGTGTGGAGTAAGAGAGAGAAAGAGGGTGCTGAGCTGATATTCTCAAACTTAACTATAAGTTCTGGTTGAAATTAAATTCACATATTTTAAACATAAACTA